AGTTGGATGCAAGCATGATTTCTGTCAAGAAAAGCAGTAGATACATTTTCGTTTTTATCGGCGAGACTCGCATTGAATGGTGACTCCGTAATGTTTCCACTTTCGGTTGGTCCGGTTCCTGAGAATGACATCGCCGCAAACATCGCTTGACGTGTTTCTGATTCCGTAGGTTCGTTTTTTTGCGGGAGAATTGAGCCAAGCGTTCCTGAAGTACAATCGCTTTCGGAATGGCAGTGGCTTGACAAGGTATTTGGCCGATATTTCAGGTGGTGAGTTGCGTATGTGGCGATATCTTGAGGGGTGCGATGAGAGTGACAAGCACCAGACGAGTTACTTGGCACAAAACCAGGTTGTGGCTTACGTAAGGAAGATGAAGAGTCAAGTACATTCGGTGCTTGAATTTTGTCTTGATTTGTGTATTGTATGGAAGAGTTTAGCGTTGGTGATATTTGTGTACATGGGAAACCAGGTGGAAGGTTCTGCCTTGTAGAAAGACGGCTAGGATGTCTTTCTACGAGCAGATGACTGACTTTGCCTGACGGGAATCGCAAACTTCTGCTCTGTGCTCGAACGCGTGAAGGCTGCTTATGACTGCGATGACTGAGATCGAATGCACTGAGAGCGTGTGTTCTAATCGAATCTTCATTGGAGTCCTGAAACCAGACGATCATTTCTTCTTTTATTTTTTGCCAAGACTCGTCGTTGTCGAATATGTGAGTGAGGTAAAATTTGAATGCCTCACCGGTGACATAGTCGCTGAAGTTCGTAACCATCTCCCGTTCCGACCAAGATGCAGCGGTAGCGTGGAACTCGAACAGGTCAAACCAGTCCTGTACAGGTCCATCGTCCGCTGCTCCGGTGTACTTGGGGATGGGAAGGTCGTCTGATGCTGTTGTCATGATGCTTGGTGGTCTTGGTGGTCCGCGTTCGGTCACTGCGTCTCGCTGAGGTCTTCGATGATGATGGCCGGGCGATGAAGTGGTTGCGAGGTCTTCATCCTGTCGACTTGTGTAACGCTATGATGACTGGGAGACGTGGCCTGGCTCACACTCCATGTTTATTCTACTCTGCACTTCTTCCTTTTCGGCTTCTACCAACCATCGCTACCTTCATACATCACATATATAAGGGAAAGAAGTGTATACCTGAGGGCTCGTTTTTCCGTGTTTTAACACAATATTAATGAGATCTAACAGACAGTAATGCCAAGGAATGTACAGGGGAAGTTATTAGAAGCAATGAAATGTAAATAAGAAGAAAGAAAAGTGGGTGAAAAATACCTTTCCCTGAGCAGGAATTGAACCTACAACCTTCGAATGTAGGTCGAAAACTTGGATTGTGTGCTGGTTGCTTTGTGTGTTTCTCGCACCACTTTGCGATGCGAGAAACACACAAAGCAACTAGCACACAATCCAAGTTTTCGATTACCATACGAGGAAACCTATCATGCGATTCCTCTAATGTGGTATACCTAGTCGAATGCAACGTGTGCAGTATGCAGTACATCGGACAAACAGAAACACCATTTAGGATTCGCTTCAATAATCACAGAGCCCATGTGAAGTCAGCCCCAAATCTTCCCCTATCAAAACATCTCTATCTTCCCGACCATGCATTCGACAAAATACCAGTAACGCTCTTAGAGACGGGATTTAAATCAAACCAAGAACGTGAACAACGAGAGTCATACCTTATCCACCAATTTAACACCCTCGATAGAGGAATAAATGAGAATCCGGGTCCACTTGCAGCAATTAAAGCATTAGAAAACAATAACGGCAATAATGAAAAAATAACTGAGTGCACGGCAATGCAGCTGCGAAGGGCTCTGGACAACTCAAAATAATTTCAAGTGTAACTACTCTTCCTAATCACACCAGTCGTCTATTTCTGTTTTTACCTCACTATCCAGTCAATTGTGTCAAACATGACATGCCCAACAGCAACCCTGTACACTGTCGGGAGGCCACAACTGCACGCGTAATGCAAAAACGGGCAAGAATCGCCATTGCACCCGCTTGCCAGCCTCTGCAGCAATACGCGGCGCCCCTCCTTCTACGACGAGATGTCGACGGGGCGCTGAGTAGCTAAAGGCTTAAACTTCCTAAAAAAGCTATTTTTCCCCCACACCGAACCGCCAGAGCCAGGAGGCGCCTTCTGGTCGGGAACAATGCGTTAGTAAAAGGAAGGATACACAGACCGCAGACATCCTAAAGGTGAAAAGGATAAAAGAGAGAGAGAGATGGAGGGGAAGGGGAATGAAGAGTGAAAGGGGGCCCGCAGGGAGTCCACCTTACATTCTCTTTCTTTCTTTTTTCTTTTTCTTTTTTTCGCTTTTTCCTCTTTCTTTCTCTTCCCCTCTGATTCAAGATTGTATAAAGCTGAGCACCAACAAACTGTACCCTCAATCCTGGTGAAGGCCAGACTCTAGGCCTAAACGTCGAAATAAACCACGTTGTGACCGCTCATGGAGGATCTACTTGACTATCACACACACACACACACACACACACACACACACACACACACACACACACACACACACACACACACACACACACACACACACACACACCACACACACACACACACACACACACACACACACACACACACCACACACACACACACACACACACACACACACACACACACACACACACACACACACACACACACACACACACACACACACACACACACACACACACACACACACACACACACACACACACACACACACACACACACACACACACACACATATATATATATATATATATATATATATATATATATATATATATATATATATATATATATATATATATATATATATATATATATATATCTCAGCGAATAGATGTAGCTGAGTTGGAAAAGCACGCGTTATTCGAAGGTCACGGCTTCGGTCTCTGCCAGCGCCAAGTAATGTTTTCGTCCACTTTTCTTTCTTCCCATTTTCATTGCAATTGCAACTAATGCTATCGCCTATACTTCCCTTGGAATAAATAGCTGCTAGTTCGCATTAATAGTGAAGCAATCATAATATTTCAAGAGATAAAAAGACCTTTGAGCCTCAAAAAGGCCATAAGACATTGTCAAAGGTGTTCACACAGACATGCCGAAAGCTTTACACGCAAGACTACGACATTCTTCGAAGCTCATCTGATACGTTCCAGGGCATTACATGAATGAGTGATTGTGAACCGTACTTGAGAATGTGCAGTTGCTCAAATCTTACCGTTGTTCTTTGTAAGGCAGCAAACCCGACCCTATATATAAACTAGTTAGGCCTTTTTGCTTTCTTTCACGCGTCTACATTTCTCCCTGCTTCTGCAGAAATAGCAAGTATTCTGTGCGTTAACGTGATTACGTGTAGGTGCGAAATGTGGTTCTGGCTCATTTGTCACGACACGTCAACTGGACTCGGACCTCACTTTGTTAACAGTTCTTCCAAAGTAACGCGTAGTGACGCCTCGAAAAGACATCGATGTGATAATCGTGTGGCCAGGCGAAAAAAAAATGTAGGAACAAATGAAAGCACGTTTCATCACAGAGATAGCTGTTCTGTGGTTAGGCTTCAGCCACAGCGTAGTGGTGCTGACAAACCTGTCACGCGTTGAGAACTATTATTTGTCGTAACGTGGTGGCGAGAAAAAAAAAAAAGACATACATATACCCAATCGGCGCATGTTATTCCGTGCCTCGTGCGGCTGCAGGGGCGGATTTATTAGTGGGGAGGAGACCAGAACGATAACTTGCCCCCCTGGTTCATTTACAGAAAAGAAAAGAGGCTATAATATGAAACATCCGATAGAATTATGAGCAATTAAACTTAGAGCTATTTATGAGATTCACCTTTGATTAGAAAAAAAACATTTTTTAGCACCTTGAACTTTTGTTTGGGATTGATTACAACGCTGATTACCATTCGGCCTTTTTTCTTCCTAAATTTAACACCTTCATATAAAAACGTGTACACTTGTGAATACTTTTTACGCTGTATGAACAAAACGACAGTAGAAAAGAAAATTCTTTTGGACTAGGCGATACAGACGTGGAAGAATGGTACAACAGAAACAAAGTGCTAACGTCTTTCTTTGAGCTCTATCAATGTCCTGAAGCATAAATATTTTTTGGACTGTACAATCACCTCGGTTATGTTTTTTGTATTTATTTGGAAATGCAAGTGTATTCGTCATATGCTAATAGTGCCAACCTGTGACAAGTAAACACTCATTGTTTAAGTAATATTGTTTTTTTTGTATTCGAGGAGGGTTCTCTTTTCGACAGATATGTTTAACAAGGCAACATGTGAGGGATTAAACCACGGCCGAAAGCTCACACCAGAAGCGAAGTAGCGTTTACTTAAGTCATCTTCAAAAAAAAAAAAAATTGCATTGGTGCCCACGGAGGTGCCCCACCGTCAAGATGATTAGACGAAGGTGCGCACCGGCGCGATTTCTTGAAGATGACATTAATCACTGCAACGATAACGTTGCGTTTGGCTATCAGAGACACTGCATCATCCCTCCGTTCGTTCACGTTTACAGCTATCTAGGTAAACTCCAGACACCAATAAACTTGCGGGCAAACCAAAACGCTATATTACGGCATTTTTTTTCAAATTCACATGAACAGATAATATACACCTCGAATTATATCGCTCCCTTAACAAATTGAATAACTTACTAGCAGCACTTGGCATATTATCTGAACAATGATAAGTGGGGTTTTACGAGTGCCCTAGTGGAGAAGTTCGAGAAATTTTGACCATCTGGTGTTTTTTTTTAAATGTGTCTTGACATTGCAGAGTACACGCGCCACTAGCATTTCGCTTCCATCAAAATGCAAGCGTCGCCGCCGGAATCGGACCGGTGACATTCGGGTTTGCAGCCGAGCACCGTAACTAATTTACTATTGTCATGTTGACTTAGCCAAACACATTCAATATTGTTTTATGAGTAGAGTCAAATAGAGTCAATGTGACGGCTCACTGGACCATGATCCTCCGCAGTTGACCTCCTTGAGGACGCACTCGGGGTCCGGCTCGAGCCGGCGACCTCCCGGCCAGTCGACGCGCCCTATCCAGGATCGCGAAGAGCCGCGATCCGAGACCTGGTAGGCTCCGCTGCGGAGCGGCTGGGCAGCATCGCGGAACTCCGTCTCGCGCACCGACACGAAGCCCCGAGCTCCAGGACTGTAGTCCAACAGCACGGCTTTACTCTGAACCTGCGCGATGATGCACACAGAAGCTCGGATTCAGCTTCTCTTGTTACCCTTCACTGAGGGAAGGCTTGCAAAGACAAAAAAAAAGAGAGGATAAAAGAGACAGATGAACAGAATCATGCACACAATTGAAGGAGCAAATCACGTGTAGCGATGGTTGCACAGATCTTTTACCGGTCATGTAGGATGACAACTTTAACCGACTGCATGAGCAAGTCTTTCTTATACAAGACTGAATGTAAAATAATCACTTAACGCAGAAAGGTTATAGCTTAGTAATGTATAGTTAGTGATTTCATGAACTTCACAGACAATAAATGATCCCGCCGGAAGAGTGGCCGTAAAAGGAATTACCTCGTGGCATAGTAACACCGCTTCATAAAATAGCAGCCCAAATTACGGGTTAATAACTCAAGTGCTAAGAGACAAAAGCTAAATTATTATGCTACCGCTGTGCACCTACATAACGCACGAGTTGACCGATTTTTGTGTGAGTTCGTCATCTCTTGTACCTGGGAGTACGGACTAATTACACTCTTTGCTGCATTCGTGTAATCACTATTCCCTTCTCGATAGCCCTAACTCACCTGTCCCCGAGCGTCCGCCCAACTGGTGGAGGTTGGCAGACTAGGGAAAGTGCCGTTGATGAAAAAGGAGCTGGCCGGCACCGAAAAAGCAGGGGCCCCGTTTGACGGTTTCGACTTGGATGACCGCCAGAGGGCAGTGACGAGAAGCGAGATGGCGTTGAAGTAACGGAAAGCAGCGTACACTTCACTCTGTAAGCGAAGATAACAAGAAAAGACAGATGGCGTAAACCCGTTGTGTTATCAACTTCGAACACTTTAGAGGAAAAAAAATTGCTCTCTGAATATCTCCTGTTTTTTTAGAGTCCTGATTTGCTAATTATATTGCTCATTAAAGTGACACGTGCACTCTTTTTGAAGATCAATATACTCTATTAGGAGAGTAGCTGGATACAAAACAGAGTCAGTGCGTCTCTTGTAACATAATCATATACCCTACCCTGCAAGTAAGAATTAACTAGAAGGAGTAACACGTTTTTTTTTGTTGTTGATAGAAAGAACCAGTGCCAAGTGATTGAATTATCTGCTTGCTGTGTGTTTTCAAGAAGTAGGGGGTTTAAATGACGCTAGCTTGATGCTATTCTAATGTACAATAAATGGTTACTCTTAAACGCCCTTTCAATGTCCGTGAAGACGCCTTCTGAGCAGTGAAGAGATGCGACGCATGAGCGAAGCAGCTCTGTATTCAGTGAAAAGAGCAATGGAGCAGCGTTCGCCAACGATTTTGATTAGATTATTTTTTTATTTAACAGATGATGGCGAACTCGGCTGATTGCGTTAGAAGCGATGGCGCAAACTCACGCATTTGTAGCGTCCCTCGTACTTGTTTACGTATTAGCGCTTCAGGGAAGAAAAATGCAACAGTCATTAATCAAGTGATTAAGCTATAATGCCTACAAGGCATCGGAAAAGTCTCGTCAAGTTGTTTAAGGGTCACCCGTCGCAAACGATCGTTTGACCGGTGCTAGTCGCAGGCTTTGTACGGTCTCACAGTACGTGGAAAAAAACGCGGAAAAACAGGAGACGTGATCGGAACTGGCTAAATCAACTTACGACCGAAGTTCGTGCCACCATCTGCCGGTAGAGCTGCTGCGTTCCGCGGTCCTTCCACAGCTTGGCGTAAGACGTGTCGGTCGACACGAACGTCACCACGAACAGAGCGCGCAGCAGCTCCGGTGCCACAGCGTCCAGTGCGAGCAGGGCCGGCGACAGCAGCGCGCGCGGGTGCAGGTCCCTGGGTGCGCTCACCAGGAAGAGTGCCGGCGAGTAGCCCGTACTTCGACCCACTCCTTGCGCATGCAGTGCCTTCAGCGAGCGGCTCAGCAGTGTGCCCCACGGGTCCATGGACAGCAACACGGCTGCGGCAGAGTTAAGAAAAAGAGAGGCTGTGGTCAAGGCGACAAGCTCCGCTCAAAGATTACACTGTAGCCCGACTCGTGTACGACTGAACCCCTGTATAGTGGGTTCTAAACCAGGAGGTTTAAAAAGAAGGTTCCGGAGTTGTTTGATTGATATGGGGGGTTTAACGTCCCAGAACCACTATATGATTATGAGAGACGCCGTAGTGGAGGGCTCCGGAAATTTAGACCACCTGGGGTTCTTTAACGTGCACCCAAATCTGAGCACACGGGCCTACAACATTTCCGCCTCCATCGGAAATGCAGCCGCCGCAGCCGGGATTCGAACCCGCGCCCTGCGGGTCAGTAGCCGAGTACCTTAGCCACTAGACCACAGCGGCGGGGCGGTTCCGGAGTTGTTGTACTCGCCAGTTGGAAGTGTCAATTGCAATCGTTTGATGCCGTATAGACCTTTTAACTCCTCTCTGGGTTGTTAAAATGCGTGACACCCCTAAAATGCACAACCGAGGCTGTAACATCAGGCTTTGTACTTCCGTGCAACAGCCCAGAAAACAACAACAACAAAAAATTCTCCTCTCCGCAAAAAAAAAAAAACTTTTTTACCGCCACGTAATATTACAAGTCTGGTCTGGTACCAACTCCTCTAAGGTGCTACTACAAGTAACCGAAAAACGTTTATCATTTATAACGCGATAGTTTTAAACAGCTTGTTTCGCAGAAATTTCGGCGTCGGCATCGTTGATAGTGCGCAAAAATTCATGTTACTCGAGACTGAGAAATCGAGAAAGATTCAAATATAATGTAATTATTAAAATTTTCGGGTCCACGTGAGGGTCCAACCCGGACCGTCTGCATGGCAAGCAAGTGTTCTACTACAGAGCCACAATATGCGTTGAAAATGCTATGTTAATGTCATGTAGTGTATGGGGTCCCTTTAACGCATCACGCATTGCGTGGCATTAGCGTGGATTCCCGTGAGGCGTCAGGACACGTGAAAGGAGCACCGAGTGGATGTTCCAAAAAACCGCTCATTACAAAGCGCTCAAGCATATTTAATCATAATCATCAACAGAGCCATCAACAAGGGGACACAGCTGCGTATTAACGCCTTGCTCTACGCACGCGCAGTGGGCCCCGCCCTGATGCGCTATAGGAATAATTGTTGCATAGTGCGCACTTAATAACAGTGGTTGCGATAGCCATTCAAGGATAACTTTAAACGGCTAATGTTACTCACACAGTTGTTCATTTCCTGACGGCACGGTTGAAGCATGCGCAGAGAACCGAAGTAGGTTAGCCGTTCAGACGGCGATGCAAAGGAGGCGAGGCCTACTTTTGAAGGCGGAACTAAAGCGCCCTTCAATTTTTCGCCTTCATGTCATTACTTCCCTAGTCACAAGAGAGGCATTTGGAACTTTTATTCAGAAACCTAAAATTACTCTTAATTTCCAAAGTATTCTACATTATGAGCAGCTGGACTTTGCTACGAATACACAGGAACGTCCGCCTGACCACATGCGATTTTTTTTGGGGGACACAAGAATAATTATTTGTTAGTATTATTCGCAATGAATGTTTAGTATTTGGAAATTTCTCTTACTTGTTGATAGCATCCGCTTTAATTGTATTAGGGCTTTTCTCTATTCTATACAGGTAGCACATTTTTATACATATTTGCAAGGTGTTTCAGCGCGCGAACAAAGGAAAAAAGGACAGGGTAGACAGAAAGAGCGCTGACTTCCAACTAACTTTATTTCGCAGAGTGGCAAGAATTTATACGTCTAAAAAGGAAGATTACAGAGCATGAATGTAAAAAACAAGCCCAATCTACACACCAGTAACAGCACGTGTGACAGGTCCTTTAATGCCTCAATGCCCAGCCAGGTAATCGCGTTCAGCCTGGGATAAAGTTACTGATGAAGTGCTTACGCATTTATCTCCCAGCACGTGTATTTTTTCTGCTTCGATAATTTCTCGGGTAAGTTGCTCCCTGTGCCTTGCCAATATAGAGCACTGATCAAAGAGGGGGGTGCACCCACAGTCTCGGCAATGAATGCCAAGATGCCCTTGTACCACATTGTGCACATTGTTTCGGTGTTCTCGCAGGCGGTCGTTTATGCACCTGCCGGTTTGGCCGACATAGACGCACCCACACGTCAGTGGAATTAAGTATACGACTCCCACTGCGCATGGGACGTAGCATGTCCTGTGCGCGACAGAGCACGCGGCAGAAGTTGCGCGAGGTGTATTTACCCGTTTGCAAAGCTTCTGCAATTTTTCAGGTGCTGAAAAAACAACAAGAACGTTGGCGTCTCGAGCAATCTTTTTTAGCCTGTGTGAGACGTCGTGCACGTACGGTAGTACGACAGGCCGGCTCTTTCTGACGCTGTTGCGCTTATCTGGTTTGTTGCCTCGCTTCACGACAGTGACCAGCTTTTCCGCCACTGAAACGAGAACGTGTGCGGGGTAACCGGCTTTGCTGAGGCGCTCCACTTGTAGAGCAAAGCTGCGGTGTACCATGTGGGGGCAAGACTTCTTTAAGGCGTTGGCAAGGCAGAGGTTAGCAATGCCCCGATTGACCAATTTTGAGTGAGCTGAGCCGGAAGGCAGAAGAGGCTTGCCGCTTCTTGGTTCATACATCCAGCAAACATGTCGGGGTTCTAACAAAAGCTTCAAATCTAGAAATTTCAGGTTGTTATCAGTGGGTGATTCATACGTTAAAACTAATGGTTTCAGGCACTCTCGGAAAACAGTCAACACGTCAGAGGAAATGGTCTGAAAATTTTGACTGTCACATTTAAACAACACTAAATAATCATCAACAAAACGGCAGACTTTAAAAACCACAGAGTCATCAAGTTTGTTTGACAAGACACGATCCTGATGTGCTAGAAATATGTCACTGAGAATGGGTGCCAAGCATGAACCAATACATACTCCACTTTTTTGTAAGTAGTTTTTGTCATCCCAAGATACAAAAGTGGCCTTCAAGTAGAAGCTGAGTAACTCTAATAAGCTGCTGTTATGAATTCCAGTGCGCGTTTGGAACGCTGATGATCCGAAGTTGTCTATGGATTCCTCTACACATTTTAGTAGTTGATCGTGCGGCAAAGAGTAATACAAGTCCTTAATATCCACAGACATTGCCTGGAGTCCTGTGTTAGTTCGCCCAATAATGTCAATAACAGCGTCGTACTACCGTACGTGCCTGTCGGCCTGTCGTACTACCGTACGTGCACGACGTCTCACACAGGCTAAAAAAGATTGCTCGAGACGCCAACGTTCTTGTTGTTTTTTCAGCACCTGAAAAATTGCAGAAGCTTTGCAAACGGGTAAATACACCTCGCGCAACTTCTGCCGCGTGCTCTGTCGCGCACAGGACATGCTACGTCCCATGCGCAGTGGGAGTCGTATACTTAATTCCACTGACGTGTGGGTGCGTCTATGTCGGCCAAACCGGCAGGTGCATAAACGACCGCCTGCGAGAACACCGAAACAATGTGCACAATGTGGTACAAGGGCATCTTGGCATTCATTGCCGAGACTGTGGGTGCACCCCCCTCTTTGATCAGTGCTCTATATTGGCAAGGCACAGGGAGCAACTTACCCGAGAAATTATCGAAGCAGAAAAAATACACGTGCTGGGAGATAAATGCGTAAGCACTTCATCGGTAGCTTTATCCCAGGCTGAACGCGATTACCTGGCTGGGCATTGAGGCATTAAAGGACCTGTCACACGTGCTGTTACTGGTGTGTAGATTGGGCTTGTTTTTTACATTCATGCTCTGTAATCTTCCTTTTTAGACGTATAAATTCTTGCCACTCTGCGAAATAAAGTTAGTTGGAAGTCAGCGCTCTTTCTGTCTACCCTGTCCTTTTTTCCTTTGTTCGCGCGCTGAAACACCTTGCAAATATGAATACGCACCAACTAGCCCAAGCTTCCACTCTTGTGAGTTACATTTTTATATATTTGTTTATACCCTAATCGACCAATTTATTTCCAAGCCGTCATTTCAAATAAAAAACAACAGCAATCGTATTAACCTATCTCCTTAGTAAGTATGAGCTGCCATGTAACATTCGAACAGGCAGGCAAGCAAGCATGCAAGGCAGTAAGCAAGCGAAAGCATGCACAACGCCACAATGCGCAAGCAAGGCAAAGATGAAGCCATCTTGGAAACTCCGTGCCTTCTGCGGGTAATCTCTTAAAGACGTTGTTTTGATATTTTAACGCGAACCCTAACTTGACAATGAAGAGAGAGCTAGTTCTTCCTGACTAAAGTTACATAACGAGAAGTATGATAAATGAATACTTGATCCCTAATAAAACTTATCAAAACTTTAAGGCTTCTTCAGGAAACCATTAACACCAGAAAATATTCTGGCCAATATTTGTCCAGAAACAAACATCTCTTCAGACTCGTAGGGAATGTGAGTCAAAAGCTCTTTTTTTCACTGTACGCTGACGTGCTCCTTGTAAAATCGAGGAGGCATAATTTTCCCTCAAGTGATTGTTTCTAGACATTTTTTAGTTTTAACCCAGATCAAACCGATACACTAGTAAATGCAAAAATGATATAATAGTGTTATCCGGGGGTTGACGTCCCGAAACCACGTTAAAATTACGAAAGACGCCGCAGTGGAGGGCTGTGAAAATATCGTCCATCTGGTCTTAACGTTCTCTGACATTGAACAGTGCACGGGCGTCCAGCATGTCGCATCCACAAAAACGCAATCGCCATGGCCGGGATCGAATCTGCGACTTTCGGGTGAGCAGCCGAGCATATATCCAGTAGACCACCACGACGAAGTAAGTGCAGCAATGCGTCGCGCTTGGAAAGCGCAGCTCTTTGAAGGGCTCGAGCTTTGGCAGCGGGAGAATGAATTGTAGCGACTAACAGCGCAAGAAAGGACCATGGGCTAGGAAGTAGCAGAGACGAGCGCTGAACCTATACAACTCGTCGGTGTTTCCTTCTAGCACGTTGTCCTTTCCTGCACTG